AGGGCAGAAAGAGGAAATAAAGCCCGAAAATATATCCAACTTTCCACTTTATCAGAAAATAATTAGTAAAGAATATCCTAATTGGTGTAAAATTTAAATAAGGAATGGCAAAAAATTTATCTATTTTACCCACTAACCAACTTTTAGCCCAAGTTTGGGACTACATTATTAGCCGGCCCAGCAAAAGAGGAGAACACAAAAAAGAGATAATGGAGTGCCTATTTTTACTCTGCTGAAAGGCAGGATTAAGAATTAGTGAGGCCCTAAACTTTGACTTATCCTTAGAAAATCAAGAACCATCTTTTAAAAACTTATATCTTTTGCGGGGCAAAGGTAAAAAAGAACGCTGAGTTTATGTGGGAGAAGAAATTATTAGGGAACTTAAAAAAAGAAATTGAAAATCACAACAGACTAATCGCTTTACTTTTAGCAAGTTTTTAGAGCAAGTAAAAAAGGAAATAAATATCGCAGAAAATATCGAACTGGCTCCTCATACTTTAAGAAGGTGTTTTGCTACTCACCAGGCTATTTCAGGAATGCCTTTGCCCGTGTTGCAGAAAGTGTTAGGGCATAGTAAAATTTCTACTACTGCCTTATACATCAAAGATTCTGATTTAAATAATTTAGTAAAATTCCGTCCAGTGTAAAATTAAGAATATGACTGGTACTCAGATTTTGTTAACTTGGCTAGTAATTGGGATAGTTAGTTGGATTTATTACCTAGTCAAAATGGCCTACTTAGAAGCCAAAATTAAATATCTCGAAAGGAAATCAAGAAATTTAGTCAAAGAAAATCAAACTTCTAGAACAGAAAAAGAGACTTATCAGACTAAATATGAAATTAAGAAAAATAATTTAAGTAAGAATAATGGATAATAACGCAGGAGTTTGACTATTTTTGCTGACAATAGTAGAAGTATTAAGAATTTTTAATGACTTCTATCGTTCTCGAAAAATAGATAAAGTTTTGTCACAATTAGCGGATAAAAAAAATTTGAAAGAGTTCATTCGAAGAGAAGTAACTACTCCTGAAAAAACTGTTAGGAATACAAAAATTAAATTTTGGAAAGAAGGAAAATATAAAGAACCAGAAGAAATTTTAAAAGAAAATAATGGAAAAAAAAGAAAGCATTAAACAAAACTCAGTAAAAAATAAGGAGCATCAAGAAGAAAATCAAGAAATGTCTCAGCAAAAGTTTGAAGAATTGCTTATAAAGGTAAAGTTTATAGCCTTTGGAATAATGGGAAATATCAGATGAGACAAAATAAAACCATTAGAGTTTTGAAAAAATGAAGAGGACAAACTATTTGCCCAGTTAGTGTTTGAAATGGAGGAAAAGGGATGTCGGATAACTTATGAAATTACAGAAGAAGACAAACAAAGATTTCTAAAAACTAGCACCTTTGAGATAGTAGAGAGATTTATCACTCTACATTTAGTAAATTACGGAAAGAATGGTTATTTTGATTATCATTGTCCAGATTGCAAACAAACCACCTTAACAAAATCATCAGTAGTAAATGATCCAGGCAAAGAATCAATATGTTGTAATCTTTGTGGATGAGCAATGTCAATGGAAGTATACCAAGAATATTTGAACGATAAGAGACATAATCCTTCCTTAGAATTCTCTGAGTGACTAGGCGAGCGTAACAGAAGGATGGCTAGAGATAGGAGAGAAAGAACTAAAGTTTTTTAAACTAAAATCTTTAAAGGGTAAAAATAAGTTATAGATGAAGAAAAAGATTATTAATTACTCCATTACTAGTTATCCTTGTAATATAATTATTAATGGTCGTTGATTTACTGAATTAGAAATTAGTCAATATTATAAAACTAAGCCTGGACGTTCCACGGTGAATGATAGTATAATTCAAGAGTTAGTCAAGAAATTTCCTAATCGACCATTTAGAAAAAACAAAAACGATTATTATAATTTTGAACCTTTATATATTGGCTACCGTGCTTATAATTTGGTTTGAGATTATGATGAATCACCCTTTACTACTACTCTAATTATAATTGACTGTTATCGCGAAAAAAAATATGATAAGAAATAAACATATGACAAAAAAAGACAACAATTTAAAAAAAAATAAAACTGGTTGGAGGGAAATTGATGTAGCCGCCTTAGAAAGAATGAGACGACCAGACTACCATTATATTAATAGAGGTTTAACCCTCGATGCTACTCCAACTGAAAAGGCTAAATACGAAATTTGTCAAGGAATTTTGCGATATGTTCAGGAAAATAACATTTCTGATCAAGATTTAAAGAAAATACTGGACATTAAAGAGAGAAAAAAATTAGAATGCTTGCTATATTGCCACATTAACAATTTTGATCTGGATGAATTAGGTAATTATGCTGACAAATTATTTGCCCCCTTTGAATTAAAAATTGTTCGTCCCGGAGAAGAAGTCCATGTAATATCTCAGCCGAAAACTAATGGTCGTCCTAGAAAACATGCTTAATTTATGCCCTGTAATAATTGTCAAAAAATAATTTCTCAACCTAAAGAAGACCCAAGAGAAGAAAAAGAAATAATTAAAGACTTAATAAATTGTAAGAACTGTTCTGAAAAAATTATTGCTAGATGTGGCGCTTGCCGATGACCGATTTATAATCATTATTCACTTTACAAAGATTCAGGAAGTCTTGGAGTTGGAAATCCTTTTGTAAATTTCACTAGAAATTGAGAATTAACTCAATGCGATTGATGCCATAAACAATGAATAACTGAAAAGAAAAAAACAGAAAAATGATGAAAACAAAATAGGTGAAAAGTCTGGTTTTACGAATTCTTGATGCTATTAGTTTTGGAATTATTGCTAATTTGTCTAAAACTTTTTGTTGTTTTCCTTATTGCACTAATTTTCTTACCCGGCTTATTTATCTTTTTATCAAAAGAAATTTTGAATATAATTGTTTGAAGAAAGAAATTTAAATCCAGAAAGAGAAAATCAAAAGTTTAAATAATTTTTCCTATCTCCCAACAAAATCTTTTCTGAACACTCAGTAAATTTTCCCAAAATCCACCCAAATTTTTTTTCCTCATTTTCCTAAATTGTTCATCTACATTCTTAATTATTATGTAGTGGTTCATGTTAAAAAATGCTTACCATGGCTGCTAATTCAAACTACTAAAATCAAAAATATAGCCCTGTAAAAGCCCGGTAACGGAAAACTATCCAGCACTCAGAAAAATATTGAAGGCTCTCATAGTTAAAAAACTATCAACCTTCCAGCTCTCCCTATTTAGGCAACTGTAAATAAATATTTGTTCTGAACTTCCTCCTTGTAAGGAAATAAATAAAGAATTAAAAATATGAGTAAATTTCAACAACTTACAGAATCAAAATGAACTTATTTAGCAATTGCGATTATTGTTGGTTATGTGGCCGCCTATGGTTATGAACACTGATTGCCTAAAAAAGCAGAGTAATTATGGCCAAGCAAATTAAAGTTTCTGCTGCTCCCAATTTAGCCTCCGCTTATGACCTAGTTTTGGCTGATTTATTTACTAAATTAACCAAGTTAAAAGAAGGAGTGATTAAGTTAGGACCATTAGGAACTCTCCACAAAAAACAACGCATAATGCATAGTGCCTTAAATGGTCGGACTTATGCTTACTATCAGGTTAGTTTTAAAGCCTCGGCTAAGTTAAAAAAAGCCTTAGATAAATAATTATGGAAAGTTTATTTAAACTTCTCTATTGATTTATAAAATAAAACAATATGGATAAAAAAGTATTATTACTAGTGGCCGCGGCAGTTTGTGTCGGCATCTATTTCTATGGTTCGCAGGTCGATAAAGAAAATAAATATTTGAAACTATTGCCTGTCATCGGTGGAGGTGCTTATGCTCTCAACTTTGTCATTAATTTAGCCACTAACTAATTATGAATAACCAACAGAACTGAAATAACAGTCAGCCAAGTAATCAAAATCAGGAATCTAATCCGCAAAATCAACCCAATAATCAGTCTTCGGGACTAATGCAACTAGTCGGAGCGGTTTTACCCGCTTTACTCGAACATTTTACTGGACAAAAGATGACCGCGGGTGGTCCAGGTCCAGAGATGCAATTAGTTTTCTCCCAAATCCTCAGTATCCAACAGCAAATTTTAACTAATCAACAAGCCTTTAACCAAAGACTAATTGCCTTAGAAAGTAGTGCTTCCCAGCAACTAACTAACCTTTCTCAGCAAGTCCAAAGCATCAAATCCATTCGTCTCTCCCAAGAGAAAAAACAAATTGACTTCAATTTACAGCAAGAAAATCCAGAATAATTATGTCCCTTTTCGATATCACGCCCTTAACTAAGGAAATTCAAGAATTTAAAAATAACCAGCAAAATAATCAAGCAAAAATCATCGCCCTGTTACAGGAACAAAATCAATTATTAAAACAACTATTACCAAAATAATATGGCACAAGATATAACTGAAAAAGAAAGCACTCGGTCCTATAATCGACCAGCAACTCTTGACACCGCTCAATTAGAGTATTCCTTTAAGCAAATGTTTGTTTATGGCACTATTGCGGCAGCTGCTCTAACTCTCGGTGTCACTTACGCTTATTTATTAATCCAAAAAATTAAAAACTAATATGTCAAATCTGAATCAAGAAAACACTTTACAATCCTGAGCCACTGGCAAACTAGCCATGTCGCTAATCGGTTTATCTGTCGGAATATTCTTATACAAATCAGGAGTAGTCCAAAAGCTAACTGGTAAATTATTCAGCAAAAAAGAGAGTGAGTAATTGCTCTCTGACTGCCCCATTTTAAGCCCTTATGAATAACCTCAATACTGCCAACCTCAAAGATACTATTATCAGCACTTTCCAAGAAATCTTAGCCGAAGACCCGAATTTTTTCTTTACCGATAAATTAAGTATTCTGACTTGAAAGAGTAAGAAAATTGACGGAGCCTTAATTACCAAGATTGGTAATATAAGATACTTGGGCTTGCTGAGAAAAGATATTAAGGGTCAGGAGTATTGAAAATATAAGCCTTTAAGCCGAAATTCTGAACTAGAACAAACTGGTCCAGAAAGTCCGGTAATTCAGCCGAATTCCTCAACTACCAATAATCAGTTAAAAAAGGAAGAAATTAACTCTCAACTTTCGCCAACTGATAATATTGCTAAATTTCAGCAAAGACAAATGAAAAGTGAAACTATTAATTATGACCAATCAACTAATAACTCCTAGTTTAACGAATACTGTCCAGCAGTTAAACGCTACTTTACAAGCCCTTCAGCCTGCGGATAATCAGAATACTCGACTAATTACTTATGCCCTAGTGGCTACGGCCATCACGGGAATACTGGTTTATCACTATATAAGACAGCAAGAAACAGACTAATTATGGCACTCAAAGACTATTTACCAGACTTCAAAGGAGCATTAAAGGGCTTTTATGAAGAAAACTTGAAAGAAACAATCGAAACTAAAACGGCTTACTACGAAAAATTACTTCAAGAAAATATTGCTTTTAGCCAACGCACCCAAAAAATAGCTATTGCCTTAGGGATTAGTATTTTTTTATTGTTAGCCATTGCTTACTTTTGGCAAGGTAATTCTAAATATTTAGCCTTGGGAGTTTTAACTGGTTATCTAGCCCCTTACATTTATCAATTAATTCACAATAATCAATCTTATGTCCAACACTAAATGACTAATTTGGTTCTCCATCTGTGCCGTATTCGGTTTTTATATCCGTCATTGGATAAATACAGGAGCAGGACAATTCCGGAGATTCCAAGAATATTTTTAAAACACTATGTCAACTGTTCCCTTTTTAATTTGCTCGGCTTTGGCCGTGTTTTGCGGCATCTTAGTTCAGCAAACTATTGAGACTTTAATTAATACTTCACTGACTTTGTTGCCCTTTAATATCCGCACTGTTTCTTAGCCTCGTAGGAGAAGCATTTTTAAAAATTATGAAAAAAGTTAAAAAATCTAGAAATCAAATAATTGTGGTGCCAACCACTGCAAAAACTACTCGCAAAACTAAACCTAAAAAAAGCAAAAATTCCTCAATCGACTATTATAACTGCCTTCTTACTCAAGCCCAAAATAATTGACTTGATCCAGCCTCGGGAACTAAGAAAAAGATTACTCAATGCTGTAAGGATTGCCGCTTGAATGCTCCGGCTTTAAGTGCGGTTAGAAATCAAGAAATCAAAAAACTGATCATTTCTTATCAGCAAGTAGGAGATAGTTTGGCTAAGTTGTTGCGCCCTCTTGATAAATAATGGACTGTGCTGCTCAAATTCAACCTTGATTTTACTTGTGCTTAACTCTCTGTGGGGTAATCCTGGCTATGTTAGCCATGTTTTTTGGTTATAATCTTACCTTGGATGGCCGAACTACTAAATTAGAAAAAAAGAACGGTAAAGAACAGAAACAGATTGATGAATTAAAAAAAGAAGTTGAACAATTAAAACGGGGAGATAAAAACTAGTTTTTGTTGTCATCTATATCGGTTACTAGTTTCCTTTCTCCCCTTTTTATATTCTTATGACTAAATGCTTACTCTGTCAAAAAAGAAAACCCATCTTTGGTTCTAATCTCTGCTGATGATGTTCTTTAACCCAATGTCCTTGAAAATAGATAGTGATATTTATCTGAAAGATTAAATTAATATGACTAAAAAAGATCTTAAAAAAAGCCGTTCCACGGAAGATTTAAAGTCTCAACCGCAGGACAGTCAAAAAATCAAGGAACTCCAAGCCCAAATCACCGCCTTATTAGAACAAATCTCCCGGATTAAGCAAGAAGCTAATCAGCAAATCCAATTTGAAGCCAAAAAAGCTCAGAATTATTTGGAGCAGATTACTAAGTTAACGGCCGAAGTAGACAGTAAAGAGCAAGTGATTAAAGAACTAACTACGGAAAAGAATGAATTAGCGGACCACAATAATGAGTTAAGAATCAACAATTTAAAGCAAGACAATTACTTCACCAAATACCAACAGGAAAGTAAACTTACTCAGCAGTTAAAATTACAAGTCGCTAAACTACAAAAAGACCTCACTATTACTCAACAAGACCTCAAATCCGCCCAAAGAATTATTGAATTAAGAACTATTAAACCAGATAATAAAGATAGAAAAGAAAACTCCTTTGATTACTGAACCTGAATCAGAATTGGCTTACTAGCACTAATAGTTTATTTATCCTTCAACAATCAACAAAAACCAGAAAATAATCATGGTAAACTTAGGAATTAAAGACGCCGTTAAAGAATGAATGGCCGAAAAATATGAAAACTGAATTAAGCAACCGGTTGAAAAACGCACTGAGGAACTCGAAGCCTTTATTTCGCAACAAGTAAACAAAGCCTCTCAAATCGCCAACACTCACGGACAAAAAGCCAAAGTAACCGCTTATAAACCGATTGATTACTATCAAAACCGACCCACATTCCATCGCGGTTTATTCTGAATTGCCATCTTAGTGCTAATAATCTTGTGAATAATCAGCGGAAGTTAAAAACATATGCAAAACAAAGATATTGTAATAATTGCTCTGATTTTAGTAGCCATTTATCTCTATTATCAGCAAAATAATCAAACCATTCAGCCAATAGGGAATAATAATCAAGTCCAAGAATTAAGAAATCAAGTCCAACACTACCAATCCCTTTACCAAAAGCGAGTAGAAAAAGACTTAGATGCCGAAACTTTAAATTCCGACTGAGAAGCTCGCTATAATCAGTTAGAAAACTTAAACAATCAAACCAATCGAGAAAAAAATGAACTCACTAAGTATCAAGTTTTAATTAAAAAAAAAGTAGAAGACTTAGAAAAGCAATTAGTTAGTTTAGCCAAACAAAAAATCAAGGGAAAAAAAGATACTGAAAGATTATTAACTGAATTAGAAACCAATTGAAAGCAAGATAAAGAACAATGACAGCAGGAAAAACAAGAATTAAATCAAACTCTCACCAATCAGGCTAAAAGTATCGAAGGAAAGGATAAATTAGCCCAAGAGGCTGTCAAAAAGATAAAACAACTAGAACAGCAATTAATTAATCTTCAAGAAAACAATAAACAAGACAAAACCCACTTCGAAGAAAAAAATAACCAACAAGAGGCAAAAATTCAAGGACTAAAAAACCAACTCACCCACCAACAAAATCTGGTGGCTAATAAAGACAGTTTTATTAAGACTTTGGAGACTAATTTGACCCAGAACAAGCAAGAATTAGAGAAAACCAACCAAGAATTAACTGCTGAATTAAAAAAGAATCAGGAACTAACTGCTAAGTGCCAAGAAATTAACCAACTAGAACAAGCTCGTTTAACTCTAGAAGCCGAAGCCACTCAATTACAACAAGAAGTAAAAGAACTTGCCCAAAAGAATGAGAAACTAACTGAGAACTATAACCAGACGCAAAATAATCATCAGGAAGAGTTAAGGAAAATAAATGTTTTATTTGACCCTAACTCTGCTAATTATGAAAGAATTGAGTTTGAGGGATTGTATAGTTTATTAGCAAGCATTCAGCAAAAGATTAAAGAGTTAGAACAAGAAAATCAAAATTCAACCATACAAATCACTGCCATTCAGCAAGAATTAACTCACTATCAAGAATTATTTGCTTTCCCAGACTGAAAAGAACAGCAAAAGAACCTAACTGAATTTGAAAAATGGTTAGAGGAGGATTGAGAAGAAAGAGCTTGTGGATTAAAATGACATGCACTTAAAAACAAAAATGAGTGAAACCGAGGAGCAGGAGAATTTTTTAAATTGAAAGACTTAGTGGATTATCACAGATTCTTTACGGTAGGAACAAAGGAAAGTGATGAGAAAGAAATAAATAAAAATTTTAAAGAACTGGAAATTTATCGTAAATGACTAGCAGAGAGAGAGAGAGAGAGAGACGATAACCCAACCACCGAAAAAAAATGATGATGAAAAAAATAAAGAAGTAAGAAAATGTAAATATTGTAAAAAACTAATCCCCAAACCTTATTCTATTTGTGCTGAATGTGCTAATTTACCTGCCATGAATAATACTAAAAAACTCACTCAAAAAGACCTCTAGAAGGCTACCCAATTAACTGCTCTGCAAAACGATAAAGAAATCAAACCTATTATAGTAGGTCTCGGAAGAAACCCCCCCCCCAAGAAAAGAAATAATGGAGTTTTTTACCCTTTTTACTCCTTAAAGAAATAAAGAAAAAAATAAGTTATAGAAAATGATTAAAGAAATAATCACCTATTGTCCCTACTCCTTAGTTAAGTCAATAACAGTTAATGACCGATTAATCAAGAGAATAGACATTAGTTCCCATTGTGATAAACATTTAAAACATGGTATTACTCATGAGTTAATTATTGAACTAGTGGAATTATTAGATAAAGGTGATTTTGAAGTAGACGGACAAGAGGGAAACAAATTATACTTCAAAAATTATTATTACGACTTAGAAAACGAAAATTATAAGTTAGTGTGATGGTGATGATTAGATAAAAATGATTATATCCTTCGCATTCGCACTTGCCATCCAATTTAAAGACTATGAAAAAACTCAAAAAAAATAATTCTTACCAAATGTTAGTTAGTCCTCAGGAAGAGAAAATTGCTCGCTGAGTAGAAAGTGATGAATGTTTAGGAAGTAAAGTCTTAGGAAAAAACGCCACAGTTTTAGAGAAGATAAAATATGAACTTTGCCAAAGCATTGTCCGTTATAAAAGAGAAAATCAATTAGAATTGAAAAAAATATCCCGCCTGCTTAAATTGGATGAATTAACTGCTAATAAACTTTTACATTATTACACGGAAAACTTTGCTCTCGATAGTTTAATTTCTTATGTGGAAAAGTTAAATATTCCTTGCCAAGTAAAGATTACTTCCGAAGAAAATTATATTCCTCCTCGCAAATCTAATGGTCGTTTAAGAAAACATCTTTAATTTTTTAGCCCTGTATAGGATTTGCCCTTATTTTAGCCTTTAATTTTTTTATCTTAACTTCTAACTTTCTTTTGTTGTTGCCGTTTTCCTTGTATAGAGCATAGAATAAAAAGCAAACTGGAACAGTCAAAATCGCAGCCACTATTCCTAGTCAAAAAGCTCAATGAGGAGTTCCTTCAATTCAGTAATAACTTCCAATACAACCTCCTGAAAAAGCAAATCCACCTCCCAAAGCTGTCCAAATCGAATCCCAAGACCCTTTTTCTGCTTTCTCTAATTCCTTTCTCGCTTCCATTAACTCCATTAATTCAATACTTTTGCTATTCATATTTATATCAATAATTTTACAATAAATACTAACTAACATATGACAGAAAATAACAACGACAACAAAATAAACTGTGCCAATTGTGGCAAATTAAAAAGCACGTTCTTAGAACGACAAGGCAAGAAATTTTGCGGAACTGATTGTGTGAACGGATACTTTAAGGGAAACAAAAAAAAGGATTTAGTAGATAGAGAAGTCGAGTCACTTGGTGTTTCTGGAATGGGTTGAGCCGAAGAAGCCTTTAAGTATGGTGGTAAAGCAGCCAGTAAAATGGGTAGCAAATTTAGTAGTTATGTATCAAAAGCAGCAGACAAATTAGGCAAAACCGTTAAAGCCGCATCCTCAGCGGGCAGGACCGCCTCGTTTTTGGGAGCAGCAGGAAAAGTTCTGGGACCAATTGGAGGAATTTTATCCTTCTGAGCCGACCGAAAAAAAGACGCAATGATACAATCCCAACTTTCCGGACTAGCCACCGAAATTGGAGATGTGAGAGATGGATTAAATAATGTTCAAAATCAGTTAGAAACCCAAGGCAAAGCCTTAAAAGGACAAATTGATGGAGTAAAATCTGAACTCGAAGGTCAGTTAAAACAACAAGGCCAAAAATTCGACCAAGAAATTAAAAATTTGGATAAAAGATTAGCCGAAGCCACCGGAGAAAACAGACACTTAATTGAAGAAGAAGTCAGAAATAGAAAAAAAGAAATTGCCGAAGTTAGGCAAGAATTAGAAAGTCAAATTAGAGAAGTTACGGAAAATCTAACCCGAGCCCAAGAAGCCTTAAAGCAAGAATTAGAAGATTTCAAAAACGAAGTCAATGAACGCTTTGAAGAACAAGAAAGAAAGATTTTAGAAAACAAACGCAAAATTGAAGAAGAACGTCGTAAACGAGAAGCCGAAATCCAAGAAATCAACAGCAAAATAAAAGTCACTAATACTAACTTAGAAAACTTACGGCAAGAAAAGGAAGAATTATCCGACAGCTTTGACAAATACAAGGCTCAAATCGACCAAAAAACTGCTGAAACTCAACAGGCTTTTGAAGACACTCAGGCCGAATACCAACGCAAGACAGCCATCTTAGCCGAACAAATTAAAGATAATGAAGAAATAATCAACGAATTCCAAGAAGACTTAACCAATGTCCGCAACGAACAAGCCAAACAAAGAGTCCAACAAGAAGAAATCTTGGAAGAATTACAAGAAACCAACGATATTTTATTCGCTCAGCAAAGAAAACTTAACCTAGTGGCCGAACAAATGAATGATATCCAAGAAGAAGTCCACGAACGAATGGATAAACTCTCGCAAAAGTTAGATGACCGCATAAATGAAACTCTTAATCTGGCCAAGGATACCAACCAAAGAATTGACAAACTAACCGAGGAAGTCCAAAACATTCAAGAAACCACTGAACAACTCCAAGAACAAATCAAAAAGAACAAGGAGGAAACCAAAAAAGCCAAACAAGAGGCTAAACTAGCCAACGAAAGACTAGACAACTTAATTAAATCTCAGCAATTGTTAGACTTTTCTGCTGAACAATCAGCCATTAGGAAAATTGAAAAATCCCTTGAACTCAAAGCCGAAGAAACCAAATTAATTGCTACTTTAAATCTCTTGCAAGAGACCAAAAAACTAATTCCAGTAGAACCATCCGAAAGAAACTGAAAAGTTGGGGTCAAAACTGGCACAGTTGATAAAGACTTTTCCGAAACTGAGGGATATATGCTTGCTCCTAATAGTCGATGAGAAAGAAACTATACTGGAGACCAAGTAAAACCAGATAATCCCCATAAACTCTTTACTCCTGAATGATTTAATTGAGAAGAAAAAAACCAATTAAAACCCGAAGAGACTAAATTTGAACCGTGGGGAGAAAGAATCAAAGGAGAACACGAAAGTGCTTATTTAACTGACCCTGAGAAAAGAAAAGAAGAGCAAGCCGAAAAGATTAAGCAGGAAGAAAAAAAACCAGTCGGAGAAGAAACCACCCAAATCCAAGACACCCTGGAAAAAATTGAAGAACTAAAAAAAGAAACTTTGTCCCGTTTACAAGAAATTCAGCAAGAAATTAGAACTGGTTTAGAAGAAATGGAAAGCACTCCTGCTCAACCAAAATCCCCTCAACCATCAACTATTACTGCTAGTCAAGTACTCCAAGCCCAAAGTAAAGTCAAAATTAAGCAAAAAGCCCTCCAAAGGCAAAAGGAAGAAGAAAAACAAGCCCGCCAACAAGCCCAAATCCAACCAACTAAACAAAATCAAAAACAACTTCAAGAAGAAGAAAAAGCCACTAAACAGGCACAAAAAGAACTTCAACAAGCCCAGGAAGAATTAGAACACTTAGAAAAACAGGAAGAATTTGAAACCAGTTTAGAGAAATTTGCAGAAGAAACCACCGAAAGAGAACAAGCCGAAATTGAACAACAATGGTCTACTCTGCAAGCCCTTTCTAAGCAAGCATTACAGGAGCAACCCGAAGACCAAGAACAGCCCGAAGAGACCAAAGAAAATGATTTAGATAAAAAATTGGAAGAACTAGTCCAACAATTAAAAGAAATGGAACAGTCGGCAGCCGCCAGTCAAAAAACCATGTCCATGTTTATGCTGTTCCTGATTATTTTCCTCTTAGAGTATGTGGTTTATAAAAGAAATGGTTTGCCCGGATTAGTTATCCTCAATATAATTCTCGCGATTGCTTACTATCACCGCGATACTTTAAAAGAATATTCCGAATTATGAGGCAAATATTTACTAATTCTTGGTTATGTCATGGGTAATGTCTTGGCTTACTCGGCCCCTGAACAAGAAAAATATAAATGACCTTCCGTAATTGGTTTTAATTTGGCCATCTTAGGAATTTATGCTTATACTCTCTATCAGCAAAAACAAGAACAAACCAAAATCGAAGCCCATTATCAAAAAGAAAGTCAAAAAATTAGTCAAGAAGCCAATATTTCTCCGGAAACTTTAAAGCAAATCCAAGGCGAAGATGACAGTTGACTATCAACCCTAAATCCTTTGGCTAATATTCATGTTTCTCAACAAGCCGAACAATTTAGAGAAATAGTTCACGAAAAATTAGCCGAACAGGAAATAATTAGGCAAAAAGAGTTAGAAATCCAACAACAGGTCGAAACCCTCCAAAAAGCTGCTGAAATAGAAGAAAAATTAAAAAAGGCCCAAGATAGTTTAGGAACTTCCGCAATGTCCTGAAATAAAATCCATGAAATATACCCTGAATTTAAAGAAAAATCTATTCTTCTAAAAGAATTAGAAAGAGTTGAGCAAATATTAAGTAAAGAAACTGGCAGAGAAAGCCAATCATTAACCAATAAATTAACTAAATTGACAACTCCTTCTCCGGAAGAACAACAAATTTTAAGTCAACTATATTTAACTCCCGAACAGTTTATTTCTATTTCTTGCCAAACCTCACACTTAACATCCGAAGAAAAAAAAGAAATAGACAATAATTATTCTTCTCTAACTACTCCGCAAAAATTACAACTAATTAATTCGGGTCTGAACAATCTAGGGATAAATACTTTGGAAAAGAAAGAAAGATTTGTAAAATTAAACCATACTCTTTACCACGAAAAAAAATCTTTTGGCCTCACTACCCCAGAAAAAGAAGAAGTATTAAGATTATTAATTAACACTTTAAATCTCAGCCAAGAGCAACGCAATTCCTTAGAAAATATGGGAGTAAGTTTTTTTGATGCTAGTCATTGACAAGTGAATGAAGAACAAAAAGATAATTTATTAAAATTTGGTTTAAGTCGAATTGAATTAACAGAAGAACAACAAGAAAATTTAACTCATGCTGGTAATTTAAAATCTTTTTCTTTACAACCCCAACAAAAAAATATCCTCACCAGTCTAAGCCCTTTACTAAAAGAAAATAGATATTCCGACCAAGCCCAGGAATTACTCCAATCCCTCGATTTAAAATTTAACAATTTATCTTTTTTAGTTAATAATCAAATAATCCCTAATCCGCACACTGATTTTGGCAAAGTCCCTAATCCTTATTTAACTTTAAAGACTAAGTTTTTAGCAGGAGAACAAAAGACATTAAGAGAAGAAGCCAAAGCCAGAGAAAAGTCTCTCAGAGAAGAAGAAATTCAAGAACAAAAACTTTCCATTGTCCGTTCTTTATTAGCCTTATTCAGCGATGACAAAGATGAAGACTTAAATATTAGTTTATCACTGGATAATTGAGTAAAAATTGGAGTCCTCCAAGAATACCAAAAAAATATTTTACTTACGCTAGGATTTAAAACCATTCCTCGCTATCATTACTTTGAATTACTAAAATTTGCCATTGAGAACTTTACTGATCAGTCTTGGGAGGAAGTAATGACTGAAAGCACAGAGGCCAAATACCAAGAATACTTAAACTCCTTAAAAAACCAACCAATAACCATCAACAAAACCATTTGGGAAAAATTTGTTTCCTCAAAAAGTAAAAAAGAAAGACAAATCTTTAAGGACTTAAATTTGGAAGAACTAATTAACGAAAAGATAAATCAAGCCTTAGTTGGTTATCAACCAAAAGAAATTTTTTATGACAGCCAAGAAGAGTTATCCGAGAACGAAGAGCCTCAACCTTCTTCTTCTCGTTATGATAATCTTTTTGAAAATCTCAATCAAGAAGAAGTTGAAAGACAAAAAAAGAAATTAGCCCGTGAAGAAGCCCACCGGAAATTAGAAGAGTCCGAAAGAAAAAGACGGGAAGCCAAATTATCCGAAAAAGACCAAAAACTTAAAGAACAAGCCGAACAACGACAAAAAGAAAAAGAATTAGCCGAAAAAGAAGAACAAAAGCGAGAAGAAGCCCGTTCTGCTCGTGAAAAAGCCTTACAAGAAGAACAAGATGCTTATTTTGCCACTAAAACTAAAAACCTATCCGAACGAAAAAAAGCCGCTGAATTAGCCTTAGAAAATCAAAAAAAGGAAAATGAACTCCAAGAACAAAAAAGGCAGGATGAAATCAAAAAGATGAAGCAAGAAAATGAAGAGGAACAAAAACGATTAGAACAACAAGCCAAAGATATTGAAAAAAGAAAACAGGAAGAATTAGCCGCCATTGCTCTGGAAGACGAGGAAGAAAGACAATTGATTGAAAAACGAGCCAATGAAGAAAAAATCAGAATCCAAAAAGAAATTGACGAACGAAAAAGAAAGGATGAAGAAGAGTTAAAGAAAAAAGAAAATCAACTACTTAAAGAAAGAGAAGAGCGCGAAGCAGAAATTGCCAAAATGGAAGAAGAAAGAAAACTAGCGGCAAAAGCCGAGGCCGACAACAAAGCCCTTTACGAACAAGAAAAGAAATCTCGACAAGACTTAGAAAGACAACGAGCCAATACTCTCAAAATTACGGCTGAACGAATGGATGCTCAGCGAAAAAGTGAAGCCATCCGGGATAATAATGCTCGTTTAGCCTTAAACAGTATTCTCTGATACCCAATGTTGGATGATGAATGAAATCGTTGTGTTCAAGGAGGAAGTCATTTTGATAAATGTCCCACTGTCGAGCAAGGATTTAACCGTTATTCTAATTTAAGGGTTAATCCTAGTTTATTTCAATTTGATTCGGGCAAATGAACCAATAATTCGGGTGGTACTTGGACTTATTCTCGGGCTAGTGATTTAAGAAAAGCCGTGGCTATTTGTGGAAATAGATGGTTCAGTAAGAGTGAGTTAGAAAACCATATTAAAAATAGTGTTGGAGAAAGTTGATAAAACTAAATTCTTTGCCTTCTACTAATATAGGTTTCTTTTTTAACAAAACTTTTAATCATTTTTTTTGTTACTGAATATTATTCCTAAAATTACTAACAAAACTAAAATCACTCCCCCTCCGATTATTCAACCTTTATGTTCCTCTCAAAAGTTTGAATTTGAAGAAGAGTTGGGGTTTTCCCTCCCATCCTCTGAATTGCTAGGATTTTTATTATTTTCACCATATCTCTTTTCTAATGCTTCTAATTCTCTTTTTTCCTCCCAGTGCAAATCTTTTCTATTTTCTTGAAGTTTTTTCATTCTTTTTCTTTGTTTAGGTTCTACTTTTCAAGGATTACAGTGATAACACCTACTTTGGCTTAAAACTTTGCCTTCTATTTCATCAATTTTTCCCGCATAGCATTTGGTTAGTCCTTTAATTTCCTTTGGCATATTCTTGCCTTTTTCATACTCTTGTATTCTTTCTCAATCTCTCATATATTGTTGTTGGTCTTGCCGGAAACAAGTTTGACAAAGTGTTTTCTCAGTCCCACTTTCACCTTTGTGTTTAAAGAGAATATAATGATTTTGCTTTATTGTCCAGCCTGTTTCCCATTCTTGATTACATTTTTCGCATTTTTTCATTTGACATAAAATTTTTCTACTTTTTATTTAATATTTTCTATTTTTTTTCTTGTAAGAAAGAGAAGGTCACGCTATTCACAGGATTATTAAGAGAACTACAATTACTATTCCTCCAATTATCCAGCCTTTATATTTTTCTCAGAAATTAGAAACTTGCTCTTTGGTTTCTCTATTAGAATGCTTATTTTGGCAAGTAGTGCCGCAGAATTTTTTACCATCTTTTTCAAATGATATGCCTGGTAGCACTTTGCCACACTCTTCACACTTAAAGCCATAGTGTTCATACATGCATTTAGAGCAGCAAAATTTCTTATCATCGTTTTTTTCTTCACTATAATGATATTGACCCGTAATGGGTTTTAGGCATTGGTCGCAGAGTGTCATATTTTTATTTCTTAGGTGGAATTTGGATTTGGGCTTGGGTAGAAGATTGTTCTTGGAGGTCTTCTTGGATGGTTAGTTCATCTAAATTAAGACTATCCAAACTCAGAGTCAATTCTTCCAAAGACTTAGTGTGGTATTCTTCATCGTTTTTTAACTTTTCTAATTGCTGAGTTATTTGCTTGGTATTAATCAGTCGGCTAGTATAAACGGCTTGGGGGTGAGTTTGGTAAGAACTCATTATATTATTTATTTCCAAATGTATTCAATTATTAAACTCTTCTCACGTTCTCTCCTTAATCATTCTTATTGAATAGGAATTGTGATCAAAAGTGCTAAGATAACTTCTTTCAAAATTCAGAAGTAGTTCGTATCCAATTTGCTCGGCTTCTACTTCATTTTCTATTTTTGTTTCTCTTCCTATGTGTTTTTTATAAATGACTGAAAGAAGTTTGTAGTATCTTAGAGTTTGTGCTTCTTTATATTGCTGATAAAATTCAGTTTCTCTTTGATTTTTGACATCATAAACCCATTCATGCAAAATTCTTTCCAATTCATTAGCGGTTGGACGTTGCTCTGGAGCATTATCTCAACATCTTTTAATTAAATCCTTTAATAATTGAGGTATTAGTAGCTCTTCTACTTTGGGTCTCAGTCCTTTACATACTGCTAAGGCTAATTTAGTGTCATCTAATTTTAAACCAGCATAAGGATAAGAATTGACCAATAGTTCATAAGCAATGATTCCAAGAGAATAAACATCACTTGCTTGCGTATAAGGTTGTCCTCGTAATACTTCTGGTGCTACATAGGGTAATACTCCAAATACCTTTTTACTTTGGGGTTCATTGGCAGGTCTACATAAACCTAAGTCAGAAATAGAATAAATTTCAGCCTCAGGAGCATCCTGATGTTCTTGAATTCCTATTAATAAATTACCTGGATGAAAATCTTTGTGAATTAATCCTCGCTTATGAATGCTGTTTAATCCTGAAGAAAAGCGGAATAACCGGAAGAGATTAAGTCAAGGATCCAGCCTGTTAGAGCTTTTTTTTAAATACTCTCTTAAACTTCCGCCTTCCATATAAGGCACTACCATAATATATTCTTTTGTTTTAGGATCTTGTGAAATGCCCTGGCAAGGAGCAATAAATTCACCAAAATTAACGCTGAATAGTTTGTGATTAGCAATTTCCTGTAAAAATTCGCTAGTTATGTTTTGGGAATTATGCAGAACTTTTAAAACTACTCCTCTACTACCTACAATTCTTTTCCATGATTTACTTTCGGTATCCCAGTAAATAATAATTCCATCAATCCGCCTAGATTTATACAATTTTCCAAATCCTCCTTTGGCTAGGTATTCAATGTCAGTAAACTTCTCATAAGGTATTCATTCCAATACTTCTTCCCAACTACTTGCCTCTAATTGAGATTTTTGAATATATTTGTCAATTAATTCGTTGCCACTAGTTCAATTTTCAAATTCATCTTTAAAATGCCTAGAGTTGCATGATTTGCATCAGCCACCCAGCCGACTGTCAGCATTAAAAAAGATACCTCCTGTATTAGGTTTATTACACTCCAAACACGTTCCGAATTGATTGTATTGCTTTTTTAAATTTCTAATGTTTTGAAGATTATATTGTTCAGCATCTAATTTTCCAACATTTTTCAATCAATTAGCACATTCAGCATCCTCAACTTCTAAACCAACTTCTATTCATTTTTTGGTGTCCTCATAACTAAATCCTTTTTTTTCTCAATCTTTTTGCAATTCAGGAGTAAAATCTTCATGAATGTCTTTCCACTCCTTAGTTTCTGACTGGGAACCAGCATTTTCCACTTCTTCACTAATAACTAATTCAGTAGCTAACTTAACTGCTATATTGTTGGAACTACTTACTAGACTAGCAATAGTGCCTTCTTTTGTCTTTTCTTCTTTATTTTTAGTAAATATTTTTTTCATATTTCTTTTAAATTTATCCTGATTCCTCAGGATTTTTAAAGAAAGTAAAAGAATTTGGCAAAATATATTCCCCTCCCTTTGCTGAAATTCTAAGATTAATTTTCAAATTAGTTAGAGTTAAATTTTGCTCTCTCTCTCTCTCTCTCTCTCTCTGCGGTCAGTTTGGAAGTGCTGTCATGTCATATATATTATTATTTTAGGCTTTACATGTAGAAATATATATAAAATTACCATATAGACATGGAAGCCATGAAATCAGTAATTAGTAAAGTGCTAAACTTCTAATGCTGACAAGGGGTTAAACTGATTTAGTTCACATAATTTACTTTTTGTTTCTAAGGGAAGATAGGAAGAGGTAAGATAAATAAGTACGATCTTCGTGAATAAAGATTCAAAAGTAACTGGGGTTATTTTTTATAAAATTAAAATATATCAAAAATATTTTGCTATCATGGACACACAGCAATATAGAAGACTTTTAAAAAAAGGGGATCAAAGCATACTTCACAAAGATTATAAGGGCATTGAATGGGCAGAAAGAGAATTAAAAAGAGTAAGGAAAATTAGCGATTTAGAAGAACAAGTTAAAGAAGCTGAAAGAATATGGCAAATATGCGATAATGTTTATAATTCTTTTCATAATCTTCCTGAGGGAGTAAATGCCAGCGAGCCTTATGGTTTTAATCATTTCAAAAGGTTGTATGAAAGTTTTAAATATTTAAAGAATAAGTCTATTAAAACTAATAAAAATGAGCCAACTCAAGATAACAAAAATGATGAAATAACTCTCGAAACTTCTGAAGTTAGGGGCAATAATCAAAAAGAATATATCACTTGCCAGCAGTGTTTTAAAGAAATAAAGGCAGGAAATACTTATTGGCATCACAAATCCAAAAACGATAACCACAAATTCTGTTCCACTAACTGCTATCAAGAATACTATGGTGAATACTGTTCTAAGTGTGTAAATGAGAATAAAAACTACACTAAATACTTAAATATTATTCACGATGGAGATAATTCTTATTGTTCAGCTTGTTATCAATTAGAAAAACCTGAACAAGAATGAAATCCCACTATTTATTGTCGTTATTGTTCTACTCAAACAGAACTTTTTGAGGTTTGTGATAAAAAAGAGTGTTTAGAGAGGATGAATGAAGAAATAGAGGGTAAGAAAAACAAGAATAATAATCCACAAGAGAAAAAAAATATTCCTTCTAAACAACAATTGCAATCACAAATCACTAACTTAGAAAATAAACCTAATAAAACTAAAGAGGAGCAAGCATTTTTGGAAGAAAAAAAGAAGGAGTTAGAAGAGTTATTAAAAAGACAAAATAGTTCTAATGTTAATAATAGTGAACTTGGTGACAAAACTGTTTTTTATATTGGTTGTGGAGTAATTGTTTTGTTTGCTTTACTTTTAGTCTTTGTCCTTACGAAAAATCGTAAGAGAGTAAAAGTATAGTAATAAGTATATATGAAAAAAATAAAAAATGTATTTAAAAAAGACTGGAAAAACATAGACTTGGATTTCACTCCCGAATTGAAAAAGGAATGAAAAGGTAGAGGTTTTGATTACGAGAAAACTAAAGAGTGAATAGATATTGGCTTAACTGTTAATGATGCGGACTACGCTCAGTGACTAAGAGATATTAAAAAAGTGGACAGTGAGTGAGTCCACAATTATGGTGATGATGAAGAATTAAGAAAACAATATCAGGAATATTCAATTTCACGATGGCACAGTAAGAAATTCACTAATAAAGGAATAGATTTAGAAAACCGCCAACAGTTAAATGACGAAAATCAAGCAAGTAGAAGGGAAGACCAATCTTTTCAAGTCAACTTTAATGCCTGAATTAGTGGCAATCAAGCAATTGATCAGTTTCTTCACAAACATCCTAAATTAAAATGAATTCCTTATGAGCAATTTAGTGAAATTAAATACTTGGCCGAAGGAGGATTTGGTAAAGTTTATAAAGCTAGAAGAATAGATCCTCTACAAGAAGAGAGTAGACAAATTTTGAATAAAAAATTAGGACGTGAACTGTGAATAAGAAATAGAGAAAAGGAAATTGTGGTTTTAAAAATTTTAAATAACTCGCAAAATGTCACTGAAGAATTCTTACAAGAAATTGCTAATTATAAACTGGTTGATGATTATTTTGATCAATTTCAAATAGAGCAAGAAAATTTTTTATCTCCTGCAGCTAATTTTCTTAATAACCTTGCAAGAGGTGCTA